AAAGGAAGTAATCACCTAAGAGCCCAGACACAAAGACATACCAAAGATCAGAAGTAGTTACAATCAAAACGGCACAAATATTTAAGAAAAAAATGTCAAGAAAGCTAACAGTCAAAGCACTTATCTTTATATTCCAAGGCTGGCACAATGTTACATATATGATAGTTATAAAGTAAACAATCCATGACTTTAATTGCTCAGGTTCAGCAGCACTGCTTCAAAAAATTCCAGGAAAAAAAATTAAAATTTTAGAGAAAAGGCTACTACTACTCCCTCAACACTCCAATATCTGTCTTGTTTATTAACACCCTGCATGAGCAAGGAAATCTTATTGAGTCTGGGTACTCTAAAAGAGATCAAGATTTTTTGGATTAGGGAAGAAGTCCTGAGTTCTCATGTTGCTCACCAACAAGATTATTTCATAATTACTAATAATTATGGTCTTTAGAGGAGCACAGCAAAAAGGGAGCTGTACTTAAAAACAAAGCAGGTCAAATGTCACAATTTTCAAAAAAAGAAGTGAATTTCCAGAAATATCAATCCCAGTCAAAACTCTAGGATAATAAAGACACACACAATCTAAGAATTTTTAAAATGCAGTGACCCTTCAAACACATCATGAGTTGTCAAAATAATTCACATCAAATTAATCCCATTATCTTTTTGACTGAGTTAACATGGAAGAAACCAAGGCAAATTTAGCACTATTCATTTAACAACAAACATTTATTGTGCAAGACACCATGCAAGGAGCAACACATGTGATGGTTCCCTATGCAATACACATAAAATCTCATGAGTAAAAGCCTTCAATTTTATAAAGAACCAGCTTACAGATCTTAAATTATCCTACTCAAATAATGTTGCCTAACATCTAACCCATGTCTAACTTCAAAGTTCTTTCTCTTTTCACCACATCCTACTGTCTCCTAATGCAGAAACAGAGCTCGCCATGTCTTCCAAAAACATTTGACACAGCAACTCATGATACTCCCTGTAGGCAAAGCTGCTATGGTGAGTATAAAAGTTAGGAGATCCATAATACTAGAATAACCACTTTCATCAAAAACTAGATCTCACTAGTATTAGCCTACAGCTGTCAGTTTTAAGTTATTTTTCTGTTCCATCCATCATCATTAATATGTGGAATACTTCATAATAACTATTTTTTCTCAAGGGGCAAGAGGACTGTCTGAAAAAGCTCCACCTGGTCATGCATCACTGGAATGAAAATCCTGAAATCTACTGCAGAGCTTGGTACTTGGCCCTCTCTAGCTCTCTTGCTTTCAAAGTCTTTATTAATGACCTGACAAGAACACTGATAACATTTTTATTAAACCTTCAGGTGACAAAGTTAAAAGGAATAGGTAATCCAGACAGCAGGGAACATGCCTTATTTTTCATATGCAAATGACCCAACCAAGTACCTAACTTACTCAATCCGTGATTACTGAATTACAGCATTAAATTTAAAAGGATTATCACTAAATTTTAGTCACCAGAGCAAATCTATCAAAGCCAACTTAACAGGTCAAATACATTAAAAACAAGCCGTCCCTTACCAGAGACATTTTATGGATGGAGTGGGGAATGGGATCAAAAGGGTGGGGGGGAGAATACATGGGACTACAGTGATGGTACTAGGGTGATTTGGTGATGGGAAGCCCACGGGGATTACAACTGAGATGGAAAAGGGCACAAAATGATGTAAAAATAAACTATCATAAAAACAAAAAACAGGCTCTCCCTGATGGCGCAACGGGTTAAAGTACAGTAGTAAGAAGCTACCTTCAGCCACAGCACAAGTTCAATCCCCAGCCAGGGAACTGACCCACATGGTGTGACAGACAGTTTCTGTCTTGCTCCCTACTCCCCGCAACAGTGTATTTCAATTAATCCACTTCCTGTGTTACCCACTCTGTCTCTGGTGAATCCTCTCACTCCTGCCTTTGCACCTCTGGCTTGTATCCCAGTTCTTTTATGCATAAATAAATAAATCTTTTTAAAAAATAAATATACATTACAGACAAAAACAATTTTTTTAGGGCCTTCCTGGCGGCACAAAGGAATAGATTTCAACACTATAAAGCTATCTGCAGCCACTGCAGCACACGTTCAATTCCCAGCCAAGGAGGTAACACTGCTGATGCTCCCCTAAGCAGTGTATTTCAGTAGATACGCCTGTTCTGCTCTCCATTCTGACTCTGGTGAATCTTCTCACACACACCCACACACACACACCTCTGGCCTACACCTCAGTTCTTGTATGCGTAAATAAACAATCTTAAAAATAAACTTTTTAAAAATCAAAGGAATATTCTGAGAGATGCAATACTTTTTTTTTTAAGCCAATAAGACTAAGACAGCAAACCCAATCAATATTAATCTATGTGATGATTGCCCAAAAGCTCAGAATCTTTCTTACTTCAATGTTGGAAAAGGATTCTTGGGCCTCCCTGTTGGGCAAGGGGTTACGTATCAGCATTATGAAGCTATCAGCACCCACAGCAGCATAAACTTAATCCCAGCCAGGGAGCTAACCCACATGGCACAGGAGACCTCTCCTGTTTCACCCACTGCTCCTCTCAGACATCTATTTCAGTTAATCCACCTATTCTATTCCCAACTGTTTATGGTGAATCCTTTTACCACCAACCCACCCCCTCCACATCCCATCTATTGCATACATGAATAAATACGTCTTTAAAAAAAAGAAAGGTTCAATACCAAATGTGATATGTGCTCAATTCAAGCCACACTTAGAGTCATTTCTACATACAGCTCAAGGCATCATATTTTAATGACTAAACAGTGATCTATCTAGAAGAGCTGTCAAAATAGTTAAATTATTTACAACAATGTCATAAGAGATCCAGTTAAAGGAACCAGAGCTGTTTACCCAAGAGAAGACAGGACCAAGATATGATAACCATCATCAAATAGCTGAAGAGATGTACAATGTATGACCAAGATTCAAAGGACAGAGCTATGGCTGAAAAATACAGGGAACCAGATTTTGGCTTGGCATACTGAAAAATTTATTGGAAATTAGACCCATCCAAAAATGAAACAGGCTACCGCAGTACATAATGTTTTCCACTTTCTGTATCAGTTCATCTTACCACCAAGATGATTAATGTATTAAATAAAGGACTGAAACAGTAAACTATAAACGACCTTAGATTCCTCTCAGCCCTATAATTCTTTGAAACATGAGCCCATGAGTATGTACTTTGCAAAACATAAAAACTGTACAAAGATAGGTAGGTAGTGGGAGTCTGGCTGGCAAAAAAGGAGGGAAGTCTTCCTCTCATACTGTTGTGATGCATTAGCTCCTTTCCATTTGGGAATTAAAAGCATACAAACTTATTTCTTAAAGTCACATTGAAGTAAGATTTCCCTGGGGAAAAAAAATGTTTGACACATGAGATGAGAGATGAGCTGATATTTAAAAGAAAGAGATAAGATAGAAAGCTATTCCCATGCATTAGTAGGCAACAAAACCCTCAATCCAAAGCTGTTATAAAAACATTAAAATCAGACTGCTATACTTTTGGAACTGGACATTTAATTTCATGTTCTCCTGCAATAGTGTCTCTCGGATATTTAAAATTCTTTAGGCTTCTTTTAGCTTCAAGAATGTTTTTGTAATGTATAATGAAAGTGTAATTCTTAGGCTGAAGGGCTAAATTATCTTTAAAAAACAAGAAGTCAATTACAATGATTTTCTCTTTTATGTTAGGTCTGTGGAATGAGAGCCAGAGTGCCTTTAGATTTAGCTTAATGGTAACATCAAACATCAAAAATCACAACAATTAGGAGACTGGGCTTTCTACTAAGCAGTGTCCATGTTCTTACACACTACACAATCTTTAATTAAGATCTATTATGCAATTGGGAAGTACTAATAAAGATGTCAAATTTACATTGGACCAAGCCGTAAGTAGTTTTATGCATACTTATCTTGACAACTCTATAAGCCAGGTATTATAATGGCCATTGTAACAGATGAAGAAACTTGGGCAAAGAGAAGTTAGTTAACTTGCACAAAATCACAAAGCTAAATGGATGGAAATGATAGGAAATTACACAATCAGGCTCAAAAGCTCACTAGACTTCACTGTACTAGACTGATCAAATCAGATTAGCAGGAAATTCTTCTTGCGTGTGCAAAGTAATTTATTTCCACGGAGAAATAATACTACAACTGCTTCAGAGGCCTGGCTTCCCTTCCAACCAATGACTACATTTTAACACTTTTCCAACTAACATAACACACAAAGCCCACTCTATTTTATAGGTAAGAATACAACAGCAGCGCCTAAGCTGTTAGTTTGGGGGCCAATAACTGGCAAATATTTACGAGGCGTTTCCAAGTGGATGTCGGCACACCAACCTCGCAGAACACAAGTGACTCGCCAAGTCAGACCCACACAGGCAGCAATGAAACTGCGTAATCCACAATGCCAAGCGGTCATTTCAAAAACCCTCCAGAGAGAAATGTTTTACCAATCAGCATGTTACTCGAAGACAGGACAAAATGGAACTTGCATAAACACTTAGTCATCAGTAAGCGTTGAAGTTAAAAATCACCTAGTTCGCAAAACCAAACCTGAAGCTAAGTTCCTAAATCCCAAAGAAAGAAAGGCTGACATTTGTCGACTGTGTGGAGGGGCACCTAGGACCCAAGCAGAAGCGAATCAGAGGGGAAAAATCAGTCCACCTATGGCGATTCGACGACGTGCGCAGCCACCATGGGGGGGTGTCTCGGGACTTTCCCGGGCCCTGCCACTCACTCCTCTACCAACAGCCTGTCTTTAGGTCTACCCATGCCCCACCCGGCGGGACCCCTGCGCGGATTCAGGAAAGCAATCCTTAGGTGGAGATGACAGGCCCCCGATTCGAGAACCCACACGGCAAGGGACGACGGCGACAAAGTCCTCACAGCCCCGGAGGTGTAGGGGCCCCAAGGTGCCACCTCCCGCATCCCGGGGCCGCACCTGCAGAGTGGTGATGTGCTTGTCGTTGAACTTGTTCTCGCAGTAGCGCAGCACCAGCGACGTCTTCCCCACGCAGCCCTCCCCCAGCAGCACCACCTTTAACGAGTAAGCTCGGCCCGCCGCCGCCGCCCCGCCGCCGGCCGCAGCCATTCTGTCGCCCGCCGGCCGCTGGAGCCCTAGAGCCGCGCCGAGTTCCCCACGGTCGCCGCAGCGTCTCTAAAGCCGCGGCCCGCGCAGGTCCCACCGCCCCACCCCGGCCAACGCTGAAGCTGTCTCCACTCCCGCCGGGGGCGAGGCCTGGAAGAGCCGACCGGCGGTCGGAGAATGAAGGGCCCCAGCTACCACGTCAGGCACCCGAGGAAAGGCGAAGTAGAGCGCTCCTTCTCCGCCTCCCTCTAATGGCGTCTCCTTCCTCCTACGTCACGCTCGGGTCACGTGGCCGCCCTGGCTGCTGGCGCCTGGGGACCCGGCCTGGGGGCCGGAACGTGCCTGGATGTGGGCGGGGCTTCTCGGGCCTCAGCCGGGCGCGGTTTGGTGGGACTGGAGCTCCCGCTCGCTGTCAGCTGCGGAGCCTGGCGCGGCCTCTCCGGTAGGTGCGATCCTGTGGGATTCACGAACGAGGAATGCTAGGCAATCCCAGTTTGGGTGAATGGGGAATTGCGGAACATTCTTATCCAGGGAAATATGCATAAGGCTAGTGTGCACACGTGTTGTCGCTGGACGCCAAATCTGACAGTGTGTCCTTCAGTCCCAGATGGTCTTTCACTGTGGATAACAGATCATAACTATTGAATTGCTTTCATTTCCCCACAGCTCCCGGTCTCTTCATTTTCCAGGTCTCAGCTTAAGCGGAAAAGGGTTCCTTGACCACCCATCCTTCTCCTTCTGTCCATCATTTTCTCTCCTCCCTTCCCTCATAAGTTAGGTATTTCATAACACCAGAAATTATATTTTATAATTCTTACTGCACTTCATAAATGTGAACCTGACAACGTATTTATCTACCCTCATTAGGTTGTAGATTTGTTAAGGAAAAGAACTGTGTAAGACTTGCCCACTTCGGGCCCCTCCCTGGTTGAGCAGGGAGTTAAAGCACAGCACTGAGAAGCTATCCACTGCCCCCTCAGCGTGAGTTCAATCCCCAGCAGGGGTAGGTGACCCACATGGCGAAGCAGACCTCCCCAGTCTGCCCACCGCTCCCCTCAGCTGTTTACTTCATCAATCTGCCTGTTCTGCTCCCAACTCTGTCTCTGGTGAATACTTGCACCTGCACCTGGGGCCTGAACCCCAGTTCTCCAGTTCTGTATGCATAAAGAAATCTTAAAAAAAAAAAAAAAAAGACTTGCCCACTTTGAATTTCTGACTCTTAAGTAGAAGACACCGAAAAGATATTCTGTAAATATCTGGAAGTGAAAAAAAAAAAAAAATATCTGGAAGTGAGTGATTAAACAATACTTCCTTGTTTGAGGACTGCTTATTTTTTTCTTACCTGCCTCCCCTCGCTTTAATGAAATACACCCTTCTGAGAAAGCATATTACTGTTTCTGGTACCTCGTATTGATACCTTTCTATTGATAGAAATCTGGTGTTAGTCAAATCCTTTTTAAAATCAAACTCACTTTTCCAACTCAAATAGTCTATTCATTCAACAAATATTTGAAAATGCCCAGCATATGTCAGGCACTGTAGTGAACAAAATTCAATGTCTCTGTCATCAAAAACTGACATTTTTAGCAGGGAAGGCAATCACACAATCAGTGCTTTTATTTTGATAAAGCAGTTCAGAGTATTTCACAAATGTATATTGGGATCCAAGTGGTTTACAATACTAGTGAAGTCTTCCAGTAGAATGTTACCTTTGAGTAGAAGTAACCTTGCAAGCAGAAAAACAGCATGTTCCTTGCAGTAGGAAGAAACATGTTAATTTAAAAAGGAATTCAGAAAGAAAAAGAACTCCTGATGAGATTGACAGAGAAACCAAGGGTCCTTTCAGCAATGGAGGGTTTTAATCAAAGAGGTTAACATCAGGTTTGATTTTTTTTAAGATTTATTTATTTATGCATACAAGATCTGTGGTACAGTCCAGAGGCGTGGGGAGTGAGAGGATTCACCAGAGACAAAGTGGGGAGCAGAATAGACAGGAGAGGTCTACCAAGCATTGTGGGTCACCTCCGTGGCCATGAATTGAACTTGTGCTGCAGTGGCTTCGGATAGCTTCATAGTGCTGTGCTTTAAACCAGTTGCTCCACCAGGGAGCGCCCAAGTTTGACTTTTAAAAGAGTACTCTGGGGCCTCCATAGTGGCCTAGGTATTAAAACTCAACTCTATCATCACAACAACCTGAGCTGGATCTTTGACCAGGGAGCTAACCCACATATGGTGTAGTAAACTTTTCCTGTTAAACCTGCTGCTCCCCTCAGCAATGTATTTCAGTAGATCTGCCTGCTCTGCTCCCCACACTGTCTCTGCTTCCTTCTCCTTCAGAGTCCCTCTCTTTTTCTCTTTTAAGCTCCACCCTCCTTCTGGGTGGGGCAGGGAACCTGGAACTTCCCCTTTTCCTAGGGACCACCCTGTTACAGTTTCTATATCTTGGCTATTGTGAATTAGAGCTGCAGTGAACAGAAAGGTAGTATATGTCTTTTCAAGCCAATGGCTTTGTAACTGGGTGGTCCCTAGGAGAAGGGAAGTTCCAGGTTCCCTGCCCCACCCAGAAGGAGGGTGGAACTGAGCAGAGAAAAAGGAGAGAGAAGAGAGAAAAAAGGCAGATGGAGAAGGAGACCTAAGGAAGCCACATGGAGCAGCAAACATGTGATGAAGAAACCGGGCTTGTTTCCTGACCCTGGACTGGTTAAGGCAGATGTGGGTGAGACACCTGTAGGGAGGTGACTATGGCAGTGTTTATATTGATTTTGATTTTGCTCTTTTCCTCTCAGATTTGTCTGGCCATTTCTGACCCTTTTCCATGGGTCCCGGCCAGAAGGTGCTTTAGTCTTGTGGCAGGCTTTCAGGCCTTGCTTTGGGCCAATCCCTTTTGGGTTGACTTTTGCCCACGAGGGGATGGGTAACTTCAGGTGTTTGATTCAGAAGTTACATTCTTTGTGTTCCATATTGTATATTCACTGTATTAAAGTCACTTTTCATTAAAGCTTTATATGTTTTGTCTTGCTGCGGCAGATGGCAGAATCCACTTAGAGCAGGCAGGTTTTGGGGCTTCAGGGGTGCCTCTCTCTGAATTGAGGTGCCCTATAACAGATTCATATTCAATTCCAGAAGTGAGACTCCTGGTAGTTCTATTTTTAAGTTTTTGAAAAACCTCCATACTATTTCTCATTCAAGAGACCCTGCGTATCTTTAGGCTAGATCAGTTTATGTTTCAACCAATGGTGGACAAGTAGATCATATTTTTTAATAAAATATCCTCATGATTATTTCTGAGGATGTATTCTCTACCTCTTTCCTCTGTATTTGTCCCCTAGGGTCTTTGTAAATTCACAAGTAAGTCCAGAGCTGCTAGAGACTTAGGGACTTATTTTGAAGAGGCCCCCTACCAATGCTCATTCTGACCTCTTCATCCTATTAGGTAGAAATCTGCCTTTCTGCCTGATGGAGGAAGGAATGCTGATGGAGGAAGGAATGCAGAGAGGCATCACAAGATTAACGCAAGGGGGATGGGTAAAAGGGGCTAGTGTAGCAATTAACACAGACATAAAAAATCCTTGACACAGCCATAAAATCAAGGTCCTCGGGTGCCAAAGCCAGATGTTGGGATGTCGGGATGTCAGCAGGAGGTCCCAGCAGATAACAAAATGTCGGGGTCTGTGTCTGAAGCTCAGACCCAAAAAGGTAAAAGATAAGGACATGGAGATGAAGCTCATTAGAGCTTCTTCAAGTTCTATATAGATATTTAAATCAGCAACTGACTGCTAGCCAGGTTGGGTCCCTCCATACCTGAAGAAGAGGATAAAACCAAATGCTACCCCCATAAAGGGACAGGGCTTCCTGCCCTCCTGTGCCTATGTAAGTGTCTTTTCTTCCCCTGTCTCTTTCTAATAAACTTGTTCTTTAAATATAACTGAGTCTCTGTCTCGTGGAGAATTTCGCCATGTGCCACTGAAAGGGAGCTCTGGTGAAACCTTTCCCAGAGTGAACCCAAGGACCCCGAACTCTAAAAAAGCGCCATCACTGCCTATAACTTACTGTCCTTCATTCAGCCCACATCACATGTGTTTAATCCTTCTTCCTAGTAAACATATTTATATAGATAAATAAAGCAACAATATTTAAGCCTTCTCATCTTGTCTCAATACAGCTAATCCTTGCAACCACTGTTCAAATCATATGGATCCTAGAACATTTAAAAGCTTGATCATCTAAGAACCTTTGTGTCCTATGTTGTATTTATCACTGAAACAAAAACAATTAACTTTTTATTGCAAAATGAAATTCTTTGTAAAGTTAAAACAATTTTCCATTTAGTATACCTTGGGATTTAAGGTAAGTATTGCAAACATTCATGCATTACAATAAATCAATTTGGAATGGTTTTGAGCACAAGATGGGTAAATAGAGACATAAATTATGGCAGTTTGATAATGATCCCCTCAATGAAAGCAAGTACTCCTAAAGTCTACAAGTGTTACCTTATTTGGAAAAAGGTTCTTTTCAGGTGTGATTAATGATTTTGGAGTCATTATCCTGAATTATCTGGATAGGACCTAAATACAATCTAAATATCATTATAAAAAGGAAGTAGGGCCCCTCCCTGGTGACCCAGCAGGTTAAAGCACAGCACTAAAAAGTTAAAGCCACTTCAGCATGAGTTCCATCCCTGCCCCAGAGGTGATCCACATGGCATGGCAGACCTCTCCTGGCCCGCCCGCTGCTCCCCTCAGCAGTGTACTTCAACAATCTGCCTGTTCTACTCCCTACTCTGTCTCTGGTGAATCCTCTCACCGGCCTGGCACCTCTAGCCTGTACCCCAGCTCTGTATGCATAAATAAATAAATTTTTAAAAAAAAAGGAAGTAGAAGAAGATAGCCAAATAGATGAGCAGAAGGCAGTGTAATCATGGAGGCAGAGGGTGCAATGATGCAATCACAAACCAAGGATGTTGACCACCATCCGAAGCTGGAAGAAAACCTGGCAACCTGGGTGTAGCACTTTGTCCACAAGCCATCTAAACATCAGAAGGATCTAACAATTAGCCCACTTACAAATAGGAGCCTACAACCACCAAAGGTCTTCAATCAAATGGTCTTCCTCTGTTCCTTGCTTTGCCCAATGATCTCTTGCCAAACCCACATTCCTATGCCCCCAACCCAACTCTGCAGCCAATAGAATTCAGTTTCTTGTTCTCCCAAGCCCTGTTTTCCAAAATGTTATATGAACCCCTTCCCCATCTCTTTTTTAA